TTAGCCTTCTGTATACATCTTTTCACAACAAATGTTCCCAAGGTTCAGCCCACAGACTGTCTGTGACCCACAAAGTCTTTCTTTAGCTTACAAAGAGACTCTTTCAACTAAGCACTACTGAACATATTGCATTGCAAGTATCGTTACACACCTCCCAGCCTAATATTCCACCCATGAAATGGCCATCCATAAGTAATGGTTCCTAAAGTTTTGTTTAACTTCAACATTTGAGGATATTTGGTATAGTTGTTAGTGATCTTGGGAGAAGGCAATTTAGGAAATGATGGGATGGTGAAGGTCATTCCAGACTGACATTCCTAGGGAAACAGAGTTACTGAAAGCATTGTGCAATACACCAAGACATCCCGATCTGCAAATTCACATCTTGTGAAATTTTAAGGTATACTTCTGAAAAGGTGCATAGCTTGTCCCCAAATACTTTTGTTAAATGAAAAGGTTACACCTCTGCCACCTAAAATAGGTAATTTTCTCACTATGTGGATTACATGATATGCCAAATAGATTAATTTAGTTTTGAATAAACTTGTTGATAGCTAAGAAGTTGTTCAAATACATTTACTTTCATGTATCTTGCAGTTAAATTGGAATTACAAAACCAATATATAGTACTGAGAGGCATTATATAGTTTATGCAAAACCTCTTTAGATGTGGAGTCCAGAAACAGATAAATCATTTACATTTTATCATGTTCACTGTATATCATAGTCTTACTTCTTTACAATAACTTTTATAGCAAATCACTGACACATCACTTTCTCGTGACCAGATATGCCACAATATCCAGACACTTTCCATAATAAACACAAAATCTGAAGTAAAATACTTATTTTTAGCCAAGTATTTGTTTTAAATACACTCAGTAACTTTTACAACACAAGTATCTAGGCTGACTTGGTTCTTATAAAGATACTCACTGAAATGTCTTTGCCATTGTCAGTATTTGTGTGCTATTGAAATCCATGAAAATCTACTAAATATATTTCATCGCAGGTAATAATTTAATGCTTACATAATGCCACAAAAATCAATGTAATTTTTATACTGATTTTTAACATTGTTAAAATTAAAACCGTAAGAGATGCATAACGATTTTTATCTAAAGTCTCAAAGCATTCCAGAAACTTTCACTAAATTCCCCAATCCTCTCCTAAAGTGGGTTCATACTTACCATTGATTCAGCTCACATGTGATAAAACTCTGGTAGAAAGTTGTTAGGAGAGTTACACAAAATCCCATAGCAAGTCAAGCTAAGACTTAGAGTTTCATGAATCCCAAACCTGTGTTCTCTTCACTTTATAGGACTTCCTCTCTGCAATTAACACATATTAAATATTCTTAATGTGTTACCTGTCCTTATACACCCAGCAGGAAAGCTTGTCACGTGGTGTAGGAGGTTGACCTTTAAAATTTGTAATTTTTTTCCACCTATAGGTTCCATTTTTTGTTCGCAAATTAACATAATACAGCTTAAAAGAAAAAAATTACAATATTTTCAGTATAAATGATGTTGAAGGATCCAGCACAAATCACCAGCAAAAAGAACAACCCGCCACCCCCAGATTACACTACTTCCTTTAAGAAAAAAACAAAAGGAACTGACAGTGAAGTTTACAATATGTAGCAACACATAGGAAGGATGTGATACACAACAAGAACACAAAAAGCATGAGAATTAGCAGCACATTCCCTTGCCTCCCCTCAGTCAGACCAGAACACTAATATCCTGCTCCTCCCAGAGTCAACTGAAGCCTTGCAAAAAGCCTTCTGCAAGACAAACAGCTCTCGGTTCAATTCTACTACCAGAACTGTCAGTAGTTCTGCCTAACCTAACTAGTTAACTGCACAAAAGGCAGCAAGGCTTGGGAAACGAGTACTAAACTGAGATCTGATTACAGGTTCCATTTCAGTTATTTTCCAGTCAGGACTGAACCCTGACTTTATTTACACTAAATGATAAAACAGCTCATTTCCTCTACTTTGCTACTCCAGCCTTCAGTTCAAGGAAAACTGGTAGCTATATTTTAACTTTAATTATTACCTGATTATATAAGAAAGGTAATCACTATCAAAGAGCAAAAATAAAAGTGATATTCTGAGATCAATTTCAATTTTGGCTGCCAATATATTTAATAAAAAAAAAAGCAATTGGGAAAACACTAGCAGTTGTCAGAAATACAGAAAGTTTCACGTAATGGGTCTCATTCTGAAGCTATGATTCAGTGAAAAATCCCAGAAAAATATACGGAGTTGAACATTAAAGCAAAAACTAAAGTTTGTCAGTTTAAAAGTATACTTTTTCTACAAAAATAAACCTTTACCTTAAATTTCTCCTTAGTTCAAATGCAAAGTACACCAGACAGCAAGGTCAGCATTATTATTATCATTCAAATATAATGTTATGAAAGAAAAGAATACAATACCCGATTACTGTATCCTTTATCATCAAATCCACCAAAAATGTACAGCTTCCCGTTAATGCTTGCCCCACAGCTTCCTGACATGGAGGTAGGTAACTCTCCTTCCATTAGGTGCATTGTCCTGCAATTCAGCACATAAAACATTTAAGTCTTATAACACTGCTTTCAAACCTGCTAAAATTAATAAACCCAAACCAGATGTATTAATAATTTTTATACTTAAACCTAAAAATACAGTTGCCATGTTTTGGCCATTACTAGCACGAGAAACTATAGCTGCTATATGAAGTCAAGTTCCTGTGGTGTAAGAGGACTTTCACAGGTATATTGTGCAGGTGTTTATGAAACACCTCATTTTTTCTGAAGGTGAAGCCCATATTAAAAGAGCATTAGTTCAGTTGAAACATTAATTATTCAAAAACTGGAAATATGATTAGCTCCAAACACTCCTGTAATGAAAGCATGTTATTTTACAACTGGAAAACTGAGGCAGAAGTAGAACTAAAGGTCAGAAGTACTCACTCATTTTGGTACCCAATACGCCACTCTTAAAACTGCATTTTGCACTGTATTTAGCATAATAGAAAAATCTTCAGTAATGCCAATTTTAGCCTGAGTTCTCTGTTCTTCAGCAGCAGCAGTTCCTAGCCTTTGCTAGTGTCAGTTACAAAGCAGTAACTTCCTGTGATAGAAATTCTAACATCACGCAATCTCAAGCACTACACAACTACCTGACAGAACTCAACTTCTGCTGAACTCATGAGGCTGAGCATTAAGCCAAGACTGCGCTTAGAATCATTACTCCACACTGAAAACAGCTTTCCTAGCATCTCAAATTTCTACAGAAGACAGGGACCTGCATTTCCCTCACATACGCACAGAGGACATGATTTATGATTCCCACCTTGTTGCCATACCTTCAGTCTCTACAGATTTAGCCAAATCCCAGCCTCTCTGTGCTCGCACTCCAATGCCTTGCCCTGACTTTGCTGCCGATATCTCAGTTGCTTTCACCCCACGGTTTCAGGTTAGATTCCTTTTCCTGCCATTCCTACTCATTTTTCTCAGCTCTCCACCTGACTCTAGGCCTTCCAAGTCGGTCCTTAGCCCAGTCTCCCTCCTCAGTCGTGGTCTCCCACCTTCAAACTGATTCAATTTTTCCTTCTGTCTGCTAGGTCTAGTATCACCACACTTGTTGACCCAGTCAATTCCAGTTCATTCCCTTCTTTGATACATCCACATCTAGATCAGATGCCTTCATTTTCTATCACTGGTGGCTATACAGAAGAAAAGGATTGTTACAGCTTTCAGTTCTGACAGTTGACCTTACCCCAACCTAAAAGAACTGGAGGCAGCCATTAAAAGGAAAAGCTTTTTATGCGCTAAATCACCAGATGGGAGTGATGCACATGTAACCTGTCCTTGTGGAAAACTGCACTCACTAACAGCTGCCCAGGGCACTTCGTTGCAGCACAGGCCAGCCCACCTTCCCCTTCTCTGCTCTTGCTTTGTCATCCCTGCTTGTTCCTGTGTCGTGTGGTGCGCTCAGCTGTACGTGTACAACTGTCTGCGCTGTAAACTGAAGAAGATCAAGAACTGATCCAGGTTAAAAATAAGCCTGCAAAAAGAAAGGTTATATTTAACCCAGATCACCTTCCTGATCCAATTTCTCGTGTGACCATATAAACAGCTGTACCAGTACAACTGATACAGGGACATCAGGGGTGAAAAACAAGAGAGTATGAGGTTGCTTTAGCCAATATTTTCACCAAAAGAAACAGACGGCAAACCATAGTCTCAGTGAGGGCACAATCTTAAAAAAAAAAAAAGAAAAGAAAAAAAAGAAAATAGAAAGTGCTTAAATATTTCTTTTAACATAAAAGTTAATTTATGGAGAACTAAGGCAAAATAAATGTACAAATAAAATGCACCTGTTTTAAAAATAGAGACTTAAGCCGAACATTTCAAACACCCTCTTGAAAAAAAAAACAATGATACTTAAGGAATTAGCATGTTTCCTAGAGCAATTTGCAAGTACATATGCCTGTTCTTCAGTCTTCACATTAAACATCTGCTATTTAAACTCCAGAGAACATGACCAATAAGTCATGTAAGTGAAGTAAGTCTTTTCACTGCAGCTAACTGTAATCTATGCAAACATTAACTTTATATATTAATTAAATATAAATTATGCAACTTACCATAACCCACTATCCATTTCATAGATCCAGAGCTCATCATTAGGGAGATAAACTTCATTTTCTTCAATTGACTATAACCGGGAAAAAAATAAATTGCAAATGTTAAATCAATTATGCATTATACACCATACGCTTTAAAATGAAATACCAAATCATGTTACTTAGCAACATAGAATAATCTTACGGAGATCATCTACCAGAGCATAAGTCATACCCCAACATTATTGCTCTGATCATTACAGTTTTAAACAGGCAGCTCAATAATGCTAATATTTTGCATTTTATACTAGAAGTTCAAAAATACTGTGCTAGGTGTTTCCTGATGTCATTGAGCTTTGCTGATTGTTAATAGCATCTTTAATCACTCATTTTAAGGTGTGAAGGTTATAAAAATAAGTTTGGTGTATCAGAGGTAGGGAGAGAAGTGTTTCAATATTCACAGAGTAGTATGAATATAATACAATAGCCAATTTGTAAAAATAAGCAAATAACACAGGCGAACAATTAAGTCATTAGGAAACATACACAACTGCTACTAACAGGTAGCACAACAGTACCATAACGTGACTATGGATTTACAAAACCCAAAAATCTAAAGAGAGATTATAAAAGATGCTTCCCTCCTCTATTAAAATGCTGTTACTAAAGGAAGTGTTTTTTTCAGTCACTGATGTGATCACTCACAACAAATTTTGCCTTACTGTTAGCCTTCACACCTCCAAATACAGAACATCAAAGATGAACATCAAAGCAGTAATCCTGTTCTTTGGGGCTTTTTGCATCATTAAGGAAAAGAGGGTTCTCCTTCACCTGAAGGATTTTCTCCTCATTCCACAACTCTTTTTTATCTTTTCCAGAAACTGAGACTTTGCCAGGCTGTGTAGATGGGTAAAGAACCCAACAACTAAATAGAAAGTCTGAAAAAATTACTCATTTTAAAAACAAGGAACTTAATTCCTCAGGCCCACTCATTAAAGGCACAGCTCGACCAACTTAACGTTTTGCCAAGAAAGATGTGTAACAATGTAAAACAGACCAGATTTGAAGCTCCTGAATCAAAACTCATTATCTTTTGTTTTGGAAGATACTTTTAATTAGGAGGCAATTCTTGGCATGGTGGAAAAATATAGAGAAAAGTGTAACTGAGAAGCACAAAAAGAACAGTTACTTGGAGTGACTGAAGGAAGGAACTTGAAAGAATAAAATGTTAACTATGAGAGCGCTTAACCTATGCCATAACATGAAGGAGAAAATTCCTCTGTGGAAAACAGATCTGTGAAGACTCCCTAACAGAGGCTATGTAAGAAAGACAAATAATTTCAGAAATAATGATGAGGAAGAACAACAAACAGGAGAAGGAAGCCCAAAAGAATGTAAGTGCAGCACTGAGGCTGAGTAACAATTACACCATTAATTATTCTCTTAGCATTAGAAAGAAATGAAAGACTGTGAGGGAATAAGCAGCCAGAGTCAGTAAATAAAAATATACTAGATCAAAATTAAATGGATGTGACGAAAAGAAGTTAAATACAAACCCAAAATTTAATAATTAACAATTTAGTTACTGATACTGATTACTTGCCTTTAAATGATTTTTACCTGCTCAATTTGAAAGGTGCCAGCCAGGCATGTACGCACTACGTTTGGTAGTTTATCCTGCCAGGGACCTTTCATGAGGCAGACTCTGCTGCTACACGCAGCTTGCAGCTTTCACAAAGTGCAAAACTCTACTCAATTTAATTTAGATACAGCAGTGGTCAGAAGCTGAGCATTTGCTACAAAACCAGCTCTGAGCAAAAACAGTGATGCCAAAAATAAGTAAGCTGGGCAGCAGTGCACCATCAACATGTAAAATGTAAAAACGTGAAATTATTTACCTGTGTAAAGTGCTGCTCAAAGAGTAACAACGATTTTCATAATACTCTCCGCAAATAAATATGTAAAACTACTAAAAACATTCGCAAAGTTTATCTGCTAAACTTAACACACATTGTTCATTTTGACTGTGCCATGAACCCAGGATCCTTTACTAGAAAACCTTTGAAAACACTGCGCTAGCCAGTCCAACCTTAGTTTCTAAAGCCCAAAGCATAGAGAATCACTGAGTATTACCAGTGATTTACGTGTGGCATCGTAGCTATATAGAGTATTATGGAGTTTAAGGCCAGAAAAGGGTACTAAAACTTCCTGTAATCAGACAACTCACATTATTTAAATATAAGCTTATTCTAAAGGTGGCTAACTTCTTGACACTACGTAATATCTATTCAAATCCTTACATGACTCGCAGTCACAAGAAACACTACCTACCAGAGACCCCTTAAGGGAAGAAAAGCTATGGAAGCAGTTGAGAGGCTCCCAAGAGTTCCTCCATTCCATTCCAGGTTGGTATTGGGCAAGCCCGGCCTTGCAGTAGGCTAGAGCAGGCGTGCCGAGGTAACCCAGGCAGCAGAACCCTGCTGCCATGCTTCCTACCACAGCTGAGGGTTTGTATTTCTCTGTATTTTCTGTATTTCACGTCAGCACAACCCTTTCCAGGGGAAATGAATCGAGCTCAGGAGCAGAGCAACTCTTTAAATTCCACAAGCTGCCCAGCTCTATCCTATTAAGCTCCATGTTTTCAGTTAAAGAAAAAAGAACATTCCAATTTCCAGAAATTAAATTATAATGTGCTTCAGGAAGTGACAAGAGACAACAAGCCAGTAGCGTCCAAAAGCCTTAGAAACATCCTTCCCCTGCTACTGCATGCCCTCATAACAATGTTTTAAAATTTAAATCCAGGAGTCCCCAACTAGCATTCTTTGCTTGAGTACAGAAGGACAAACTTAGCACATTCAAAAGTTTACCTTAGGTCACAAAAACAGAGAGAAGAATACAGAATATGTTAATAGAAACATGTTTTCAGTGTATCAAGACCAGGAATAATACCAAGCACAGCTACTTTCACATTTTAGGTTGTGGATAAAATAAACTGACTGCATTTAATGTAGTATCATTCATAGTTTTCTTTTGGACTGAATTAATCCAGAGCAAAGAGTCACAAGGATTTACTTATGCCAGAACTGGTAGTGATCTTTCAATAGAGAAAAGCAGATATGGTTTTAGTCTGCCACCAGCTCGTTTTTGAAGCGAATGAACTGCTTTCTGAGGGAGAAAATCTGTAACACACAGCTACTAATAAGTAAAAAATGCAGGGACTCAGGAACGAGAACACGAATTACACCCTAGAAAAACACAGCCACAAATTATAGCCGTCACCCCACACAGGCAGGGAGAGAAGCACTCCCAGAGCACACAGGAGCCATGCGTTTGGAGGGCAGAGGAAACAAACCGGCTCCGCCAGCCCTTCCCCAACACGTGCTCCGTGATGGAGGCAGCTGGAAACGGAGCAGCAGGCAGCTCCGGGCACCAGCCAGGGCCACCTATGCTTAGAGAAGGGGAGCAACAGCCGAGAGGGGAGAAGCACACGGGAGAACTCCCTCTCTTCTTTCGCGCCCTTCCCAGAGCAGC